TGATGCCACTCTGGCGTGATAAAAAGGGGAACTATCGAAAGACACAACCGGAAGGAAAAAGGATGATACGGAGGGTACACATTTTTACGCAAAGACAGAACATAGTTCCTAGTATATGCAGATTCAGAAGAGGGGATTGTTCATTTGGCATGAAAATGTGCCCCCCAGAATTACACGATTGTTCATGACGTGTTTTATCTATGCATATATAGAGGGAGTAATATATTGTTGAATTTGAACTGGTATAATATCACTTCTAATTTCATATTAAATTTTAATTGTATATTGCATACAATTGATAGGGCACTTGTAGCGTTTAAATGTGTTCACGCCTCTTTGTGAAGAGTGCTCTAAGTGCAATGGAGCAAAGATATGCAACTGACAGGGGGTAATATATCCCTTTTATAATAAAGACAGAGAACAATACAGGAGCAAGTCATGGCGAAACGATTGATATCAAGGGACTATTAGGTCAAAGGGAAGAAATGATGAACAAGATTATAGAAACAGCGGCTGGCTTAATAAGGGAAAGAACCAAAGGAGCGACGCGCTAGATACGTATTTCAGAAGCAGCGTGTGCCAAACAGGGAAACAAAGAGTATAGGACAGGAAGCATCCAAGGGAGGATGACAAACAATCGAATAACCTAAACAGACAAGACGAGATTCTTCTGACAAAAAACAAGGAAAATCCAAAGAAGCCTGAAACAGTAATCGGCAAGTAATATCCCACTGAAGTGATAATATAATCTATCCCTGAGCCCTAGTGAAGTTCCTAATCAAGAAGCAACCTCAAGGAAGGAACAACCAATATAAGGTAACAGGGGAAGATTAGATTCACCTTGGTTGATACGGGCCCCCACCCGGAGTCATATAACAAAAGGAAAAGCGAAAGCCTTATAAGTTGGCAACCGATAGAAGAGTCCCTAAGAAAAAAAAGGCGGAAAGAGGGGGAACAAAGTGAGTAGTCCCTGAATAATACAAATCGCAAAGGATTAGAAGGGGGGCTTCATTAGAGCTCCCTCAAGAGTAAAGAATACGTGCATCACGCCCTTCCACTTCCAGAAAAACGAGTTCAATAATCGGAGAAGCAGATGACATCTCCCTACTTAGAATACACCGTGATTACTGTCTGGAGTTCCGAAGAGAAGAACAAGATCTAAGAGTAGAAGTAAGGAAGTAAAAGATGCTACACAACAGAATACCCCCCGTCAGGGCAGGAAGGACTAGTAGTACCAGACAAGATAAATCAGATTCGTGAAGGTAAGATTCACATCCGTAATGAGAACAAGGAAAATCCCTTAAAAAAGTAGGAGCTGACCATCTTCCGTGCCCCTCATTAGAAGAGATACCGAGACTACTAATCATAGTTCTGAAGGAGGAAAACATCCCAATAATACCCTAAAAAATAAAGAAGTAGCCAAAAGACTCCCAACAACTCCCCGCGAAGCCATCGGCGGAGATCTAAGAGTATGAAATAATGATAACTCCTAAGGGCAAACAGAAGAAGAAAAAGAAGAATCAGAAGAGTAAGACCAAGCAACCAAAGATGACTAAGAAAGATCAAGTGTCATGGTCCGCACAAGACATATGATAAAGTTATTCTAATTTGAAATCGCGGCAGGTCAAGTAAGTTAAATCCACAGCCAAGGAATCAGGGAAAACTGCAGTAACTCCTCAGAAAATGTTCCAAAGAGACTAAGAATGCAGCTATAGGAAGAAAAGGACTAGACCACATTGAGTCCCACCCTCTGACGTGATAAAAGAAAAGAGAAGGAATTATAATATTAGAGGATAAGCAGCATTAGCAGGAACGATAAGCAGAACTAATCCCAACCTTGCCTGGCACCTGTAATAGTTAACGCTGAAATGAAAACTCCGAGGCAAACTTCGTCTTCTAGCGCCAAGTAAGCCGAGCAAATACAGCTCCTAGCGGAGGATGTCTATAGGGACTTACGAACAAAAGACTTAAGTAGCCGCCAACAACACAGGAGGGGGGGAATATCTCGGCCCTTTCCCAACAGGAGATGAAACAAATTATTGCTGACCTCGAGAGTGTATCAGGAGTGGCACAGAAGATATGAAGCTGACTAGAGCATGTGGAGGTACCAGAGAAGGACTAGGGAGTTAGGCAGAATAGGAGCGTCAAGAGCAGGAAACCGAAGAGCATCCTGTTTTCTTTCGCCCAAAAGATAAAACGAATTAAGAACAAAAAACAACAGGGAGAAGATCCATTGGAATTACAGCAAAAGTGAAGATCACATAGAGACGTAACATATTACAGAACCACTTAGCGCCTAGAAAACTCCCAGAAAGCTTCCTACTCAGCGCCAATCCCCCCAAATACCAGGGGGGGAACTAGATTTAAGGGAGGTTGATAAGCAGGTTAGGAAGAAGTATCAAAAATGATAACGTGTGGAAGATGAAAAAAAGAGAGGAATACAGACATGCAGACTATTAACAGAGCAATGGATAAAGGATCATAAGCAAGAGGACCTACACCGCATAAAAGGGAACAGTATCTCCTGAATAGTCTTGACAGCCTGTCTCAGCTAGGGATGTGTCGTGTAATCTAGGGAAGCATCAGATTTACACCTGAATAGTCCTTAAATTGATTAGGGAGTTTCCACGCGAGATATTGAAGTCAGGGATTCCAAACTGCTTTCTCAGATTCCAGAAGTCTAGTCAGCCCCCAAGGAGGCCACCCACAGAAGATCCAACATCCCGCATAAGCCGGCGGACTTCCCTGAGAATATAATAAGTATAGGCACGAGAAAGGGGAAAAATTTGGGTATCTCAGAGCACTAACACTCCCCAGTAAGTTTCAGCCACGAGAAGCAGTAAGTCTTAATGATATATTTAAAGGGGAGAGGAGGTCCAAAGTGCAGAGAATAGGAGAATGAGGCGTACGTCGGAGGAGCTCTAAAATAGAATGGGTGCCTAACGAGGTGTCCCATGAATAAAGAGCAGGAGATGTCTAAGTCCTTTTCATGATTACCCCCATAAAATCTGAAATCTCTGAATTATCTAGGATCCCATGTCACGAGGGAGAAGTGGATTGAATCTAGGTAAAGTGACTCCCGGAAGATTTAAGTGCCTGAGTACAATTTTGAGTCCCTAAGAGAGAAAAGATAGGGAACACGTTCTCGAAGAATCAAGTCGCCTTAAGAGCCCGGGCAGAACACTAAGGAAGGAGGGAAAGGATAATTAGAGGCAACGGATCTTTATACTCTACTGAAGCCAAACTCAAGGGCTTATGACGTAGGCCACGAGGAGTTCTTATGAAAGGAGTAAAATAATCTCCTACTCAAGCAGACAATCCACTCGTGAAAAGGGAACCTCTCATAATAGCCGGAGAGTTCGACTGCAGTGAATAAACCCAGGTGAACAAAATAAAAGGAAGGAATAACAGGAAGTCTAGGGGAAGGAAGGGAATCGTCCAGATCAACCTTACAAAATCGTCCGACATGAAAATGTCTTCCCAAGTAGCACTAAGTGCAGGGCAATTCCAACGATGAGATGACTTAATCTCTCAAGACTCAAAAACAGGAGGTTAACATCATTTTCCAGAGGAGAAAGGGTGAGCGGAAGACGTAACAAGCAGCCAAGAGAAGGAGGGCCGCAGCAACCAGGAAGTGGGAAGTTAGTATTTGAGTCAGGTAAGATAGTAGGGGGAGGAGCCTACGAATCAAGGAGGAAGCGCAAGAACTGATCGCAGCAGAGGAGGAAGGTGTCATGTCAGCCCATTGTATAAGTGGAGATTAAAGCCTCGAGTAGATTCGTCACGGGATTGCTTCAAGCAGTAACTATCTAAGAAAAAAGGGCCCATAGGAGGGAATAAGTCAGAGGATCTTAGTTGTAGTCATATGACCGAGTGAGCCCAGGGAGGACTCATCTGCGGCAGATTAGCTCTGCAAGAATAGGATGAACATGAGGAAGCAGCCGTTAGTGAATAGGGGATGTGGTAAAATGGGAGGGAAAACTGCTAGAGAATAAGTACCAGGATTGACATCACGTCGGAAGAGTCCAAGTTGCCTTAGCCCAACATAGGACGTGCTTTCTCAAACGTGCGAGACTAGTCTGAGTCTAGGTTAAGGAATCCTCACGACAACTCCCTTTCTGTTTATTGAATGGTCAACCCTCGCGTCCCTCTGTGTATTTTTCAGGAACATTAATGACAATCCGCGTACAGGGCGTCCGAAGGAGCAGGAATAATTGAGGGGATCTGAGCAGATGAGAGATCTGAAAAAGTTGAGAGTAGAGAGATGTTAGCGCCATCAGTTTATCTTCTGAGATAATAAAAAATAACCCAACTCAGTTATACGACTCAGGACTGAGAAGTCAATTAGTAACAAGCTCACAGACCCACACCAAATAAGACAATCCTAGGAATAAAACAAGAGAAAAAAAACAGCATCAGAACCATTAGAACAGGTTTATTCGAATTTGTACTAATAGTCTGAATCCTTCCCCATGGTGACTAAAAAGGTCAAACTGAGAAGAGCGTGCGGATTAAACTTGGGATATTACAAAACCTGTCTTTGTCTTAATTGGTGACTTACGAGGAGAAAATATTACGGAAAAGAACCCCAAATCAGAATAAAAGAAGTGAGTGAATTAGAATACAAAGGAGAGAAACCTCGCACAAGTAAAGGAGACGCGGAGTGAGTGAAACTAGCGAGAAGGGGCATAAGCATGCCAAGAACAGCAGGACTATAGAAAATAGCAGGAAAAGGGACGTAGGAATTTGACTACAGGTGAAGACCGAAAAATGGAGCCACAAAGAGCTGGGAAGCCACCAAAAAGAGAAAAACGATCTAGATTCCCACAAATCCGGAGCCCGTTATAAGGAATATAAGGAAGTAATTCTCCGTGTATTCTGAATTCTCCCGTTTCCCCCCCGTAGTTTGCATCGGGGTATAATTATACCGAAGAGACTAGCTCTTTTGAGAGAAAGCTAAACAATATCTTAACCCCACCTCACTGGCTCCGTCTCTTCAGGCATGTCAATCCCAAGGACAGGGAGCCAGTGGGAATTAACTTCCTGCGATCGGAGGAAGCATCAGACGTGGGGATATCCAAGAAACCAAGGATCAGGCAATTCATGCAATAGTACAACAAGGTATTGTTTCACCAAGCTGACAGAGTCCGGGTCCTCGCGGTGGGACGACCTGGATAACTGGATATCGAGGACCTTATTGAAGGATAGCCGATATCGGTGGAACCATGGATTTGATCCAAATCAGACAACCAAGTTGCTGACGCTCGAAAACAAGAAGGAAATGACATGGGGACAATTCTTGGACAAAATTTTAGAGAAAGTGGATAGTCAAGTATTATCAGGGAACCTCCATCTAGATTCACTTACGTGGACCAGGCAGGAATGGGCAAGCGCTTTAAAGAGCGAAATCCCCCTTCGCGCCCCCCTGGACAAGTTAAGTTCGGGCAGCAACTTATTATTCGTGATACTGTGTATAGTAACAGGATTGATTGAGGGGAAAAACAACCAGAGCAAACTATTTATCGACAGAGGTACAGGGTGTTATCCCGTGGATGCGGGTCTGGAGTTCACCGTCGATGAATGGAAGCAGTGGATAACCAATAAAGAAGGAAGGAAGCGGAGGAGAGATTCCCTGTGTTCCAGTGTTGGAGGAACTGACGGTTGTCAAGAGGCATCCATAGCCTTAATATTGAGTATTTACGAGGCTTTGAAGGCAATATGCCCGGAATGTGGCCCATATAGGTTGAGTTATTGGATAAAGGAAAAACAGGAGAAAGTGGAATCGGAGCAAGACGAGTATTGTTATTTTGAGGGAGAACAGGAAAATTGTCGTGACTCCCTCCAGGACAAAAGTCACTCACCAGTCTTGATCACAAGAGAGGGGAAGTTCCGGGTACTAGATAGACCGGAAGTCCATAAAGTCGCAGAAGTGTTAAAGAGTGCCCAGGAGGCAGCCGAGAGCATTCATGAGGATCTAGTTCTCTTAAGGGAGAATTCAACGGACTCCATCGATAAAGAGGGGAGTGGGGAGAAATCTCAGGAGAATAAGGCATCTTGCGAAGGGAAATATTCAAGAGAAGTTCACGAATCATCGCTCCCGCCGGACAACTTAACAGATTCAGGATTAAAAGATCAACAGGAGGGGATAATTGAGGAGAAAAAGAGGGCCGAACACCGAGGAGAGGATGAACTTAAAGACTCCGTGACGACCCCAGGGCTCGGGGGGGGGGTTTTGAGACGAAACTCAGCGGAAGATGAGAGTGCTATAAACTCTCCAGAACGTGCCCCTTCCGAGGCTTCTTCAGGGAAGGAAGTCACAGCAGCGTCATTGGGGGAGTTCCTATGGAGTTAATTGAGGCTTTGGGAATTAATAGCGGGAACAGTGGTTGTAATATGTCTAATAGTGAGCAGTGCTTATGGTTTATGGAGAATCTTTAGAGGCCAAAACACAAAGAGGAAGACGAAAATCAGTCCAGAAGGCAGAGGAACGTATGAAGTGGGTTATGGCGGGGGCAGATATTAGGGATAATGATCCGAGCGCGTTTAGGCCCTGAGGGCGGTGTTTAGATTGAGGGTTAAGGGTTTAGGTTTTGGGTTGGGGAGTGGACCCATACTAATATGACCTCCTCCGCAAGCCCCTTTGATACCGTCGTCTACAACCTTGAATCGGACCCTAGGTGTGCACCTGGGTGCACTAAGTGGTTATGTCCCCTATATGATTACCCTCTTTCCATATGTTAGTTATTCCCCGGAAGAATATGTTATGACTTCAAATGGATCCAGATTGAGTCTACATTGTGTTAATATGTGTACCTTCTTCCGTTTTATTAGTCTCTTTGTCCGTTAATTATTAGTCAAGGATCGACTGTATGGTTGTTAGAGGACTCAGATCGTTCCAAGTGAGATAGTGAATAGAAACATTCTGTCCCCATACTTATAGAGGAGGAAGCGTCTTTGTCTAATATGGATTGATTCCTGAGTGAGTAGATCGAATGGACCTCCTATGACGTGGTCTGTGTTGGGATGTCCTTTCCTTATAAGGAGTGGTACCAACAGGGTGACCCATACACAGCCAAAAGGGGTCCGATTTCGGACTTAGAGGAGTTGTTGTTTTATCATCTTGTTTTGCTTTATCCTATCGGAAAAAAGGGGACACCCTGTGATTTAAAACATTTCGATATAATGCAGGAGATACCATAATATATATATATATATATGCTGGCAGGAGGAAACAGGGATGCTGAAAAAATCCGTGGTATCCTTTCTGATGGGTTATATGATGATCGCTACTTAGGGAAAGACAGGTCTGTTCCTAAAATACCATATTTCAAAATGTTCTTCTTCCGTGTTAAATCTGATGAATCACGTTTCACAAAGATATAACCAGAAATTTCCTTCTCTTTGCATCCTACTAAGAATGCCCTCAATTCTTTCAGTAAAACATACATTAATTGTTCTCTCATTGGAGCAATAGATATGGCAAAAAAATGGCATAATTTCTATTTACGTTGATAAATGAATGATAAGCGACTTTGTAATTACAACTTTACGGCAAACTGATCTGATATGTAAGGAGTGCACATCCTGGCCTTCGAGAATGCTGTGGTACTTATATATGCTTGTTCTTCTTCTTTTTCTACTGTTAACTTATGATTTTCTCTCTAAAGATATTTTATCAATGTGTGATTCCTACTGCGGTGTCTTGAGTGGGTTGTGCCCTGTTTCATACAAGAGCGTCCGGATGGGGGTGATCATTTTATGTAAATTCCCTGTTTCTACGTGTCTTATAGGACAGTCTGCCCTAATTTAATAGGTGCAGGGAAATACAGAATGCCATATTCCATGTTTATCAGTAAATAGAACAGATGGAGAATAATGTTTTTCGACTTCTTCCGTATGTGTCTAGGCTGTTATGTATAACGAGTATTTAAGAGGAAAGATAAGTGGACTACTCTCAGGATCCTTCTAGGGGGATTATTACAAATAGGAAATTATGCATTCACCATTTGGACATTTTTTATCCCTTGTATGTTACGGAAAATTTGTCTACCCCCACATTGAAGAAGAGTGGGGCATACAATCGTAGATGAAATGTTTCGCGGCCTTCAGATATGTTCCTCAGATGATGAGTCGCAACTGGTGACCTGCCTTTGACATGTGTTTCGCATTTTAATTGTGCCCAACAATGGGGTTGATTATCTTCCTAATTTGTTGACTATTTGACTTACTTGATGTCCCTGTCTTTGGAAGTATGTGTGCCCTCTGTTTTCTAGGAAGGAGTTCCTCGTATGATCCTGTACTCTGTATTTATCAAAGCTGTCTGAGGTCATCGCATTCTAGGCCATTCGTAGGAACACCATTCCAATGTAACATATAAGTATGCGTGTTATATTTCGCCTCTGAATCTGCTTTCCTCCGGCTACGTTCTAATTATGATGGTGAGCGCTCTTGTGTTATTGTTCGTCCGTCTCCTCTTATAGGAGGCTTGTAAATCTTTGTGCTTTATACTCAGCGTGCTTTCTTCTTTTTTTTTGACATCCTCAGAAAAATTCTGTGTGTATCTGCTATGTTTGGGGATGTTTCTATATTTTCCTCGTTCAAACATTTTCCTATATGGCCGTCTATGTACAACTTCATGTCTTGTGAATCCTATTGCTCTCTGTATTCATGCAGAAGCATCATGAAGAGCGGTATGGACATTTCCATGTCTAGTTCATCTGTAATTACACACAATTCGTGGTTATGCACCTTCTGCTTCTCTTTATGAGATGCTGTTCCTGACGTGTAATTGGTCGTCTTATGTATTACATACTTGGTTGTGTTTTCTCGGTAGAACTTGATAACTTTATCAGACAAACTATCTGGAATGTACTGTTTCATACGTATGGGCTGTTTTGAGACCTAATTGCTACATACACGCCCTCGCCCCTGCAGGACAAGAATATGTCTTTCCTGGTTAAATTGATTGGTTGTAGACCTTACAATTTCCTGAACGCCCTGTTCATCCCTTCTGGGTCCTTGCTGTAATCTGTGGAATTAATTGTTCTCTTTCAACATCAAAAATATACGAATATTTATGTTAGAAACTATGCCACTAATGTTTTGGTATGTACAGATCACCATAGTTGTGTGCATCTATTCCCATTAGGTTTCTCCGTCAGGTAATTCCACCTATCACAGCTTTATTTATCATAAATGTGTGCACCACTACTTGAAGGAAATGTTTCTTGGTAAATTTGCATTCTTCTTTTTTGATTCATCTAAAAGTTCTGTATGTATATATAGAATCTTCTACGGAACGTTTGTTTTGCATTTTGCATGTATACACTCTTTGGGATGTCTTAATTACATATTAACTACTCATATTCAAGGTCGCGCAGTGGTACGTCGTCACTATAATATCATATATCCCTCTTCTTTTCGCAATCATGGCCACACATTGCTGTCTGTACGTGTATCCTTGTTCCAGATGTGCGCTTTCTGTATTTGGGGGGAAACGCCCATTTTAGAGGAGTCTACTGTGATAGGCGAACGAATTGGCAAAGGGGGTTATGTTCGGTTCTGCGGCGTCCCGTAAATACTAACGACAGTGCACTAAATGTTTTTTTTTGCATGTGTATATATATACATATATCTATACTTCCGTAAGAAAGGTAACCTCTGTAATGGGCCCCCCAAGTGTTAAGATAATAAATAACACCTCAATAAAGGCAATGGCATCATTATATAGTGTTTGTGGGGCTACACCGCGTGTGGGGTGTCGTTAGGATTGCCAGTTCCCTGTCCCAAAAGTCGTAAGCATAAAGACAGAGGGGGGAGCATCCGTAGCACTTAAGGACATTATGTACTCCCCACAACTCAGAATTTATGTGTGGGTGGGTTGTGAAAGATTTGCATAAACTGATAGGTAAAGGACAGAGGCTGGTGGATAGAATAAACTGAACCTACTAGGAAAAGGAAGAGGGGGGCGATACCCGTTGGGTAATATCCGAGGCGGGGGGATCCAATGGAGGAGACCTCCAATCTGCACGTACAATATCAAGAAATTGAATAGTTCGAACCGTGAGTATACCTTCCGAATTTGTACTTATTTTACATTTATATTTTCCGTGTTTACACCCGCTGTAATTCCCTTCAACCTTTCAGCACTGAGAACTCCAGTAAACCTTGATATTGCTGCATTTCTACCTACTTCTGAATTTGATCTTTTACGGAGCTGCCACGTTTCAGATGTGCGCTTAAATATTTCGGAATCCTGACCGCTGCTCCGACTATTTCTTAGTGAGTGGCGTCCTCACATTCAGAGTGACAGCACCTCACGGAAGTTCCGAATGATAACCTGGGCGTTGAGAGGTATTGTCATAGGGAGTAGCTGTAATACAGTTTGGTTGGGATGAAAAAGTATCAATAGTTGTTCTTTGTATAAGATTTTCATTCGGAACAACGGTATTTAGCATATGCAGGAAATGTGTTCCCCTGTGCCAACCTAATGAATGTCACAGGAAGAATCCTTTTCATTAGGGAGTCTACTGCGAAAGACCTGTGCAAACTCCTGTTCTCAAAGTATGCAGGACAATTCTACCGTTTCAATTAAGGCTTTCCTTATTCTTTCGTATAAATAGTCAGGATTCAAAGAAGAACCAGAACATGTAGTGATGGTCAAATAGGTGATCAAAGAACCCAACATATTCACATAAGACATGTCCCTGGGGTGTTGTTGGGGGGTGAAAGTTGTGATAGGACATTTATAAAATAGTGTGTGAAATCACCCAGTATATGGTTTCAATGAACACATTCGATGTGTGTGTTATTACTGTGGTATTGTTCTTTATTATTATTCAAGAAGATAAAGTATCCGTTCTGATATATTTCGTATGGAAATCCGGGCGTCTAATGCTATTGTTTATAATATCGTTTAAAGGTAAATATTCTAAACCAGTAATTTTTCTTATATTACATTGTGTATTATATTGACGTCTGCGTTTTACATCCTATTACTATCTCTGATATGTCTCAGGATAATGTGTGCATTTTTTGAAGGATCATGTAATAAATACATAATGTCTTATTAAAGGAAGAATTCAAACACTGCGGAGATGTCATGAAAAAATGGGTGGAATAATCGTGTGGCCATGTACATTATATGTCCTAGGCCAAAAAATACAGTTTCCAAGGAATCTGCACATTAGTTCGCTGGGTTCTCAGATTTGGAAAAAAGGCGTGCTTTTTCAATAAAATAATAACAATCAAATTAGGACCATAGGTATTTTTTATAAATGCGTGTTATATTAATGAAGTGTGAAAAAGAGGCCGCTATGCCGATTAAAGTCAGTCTCTTCATCATGAAATACGGCGTAGCCCCTTAGTTACTTCTTTATAAAGGGGTACATTGAAATTGAAAAGCCATTACCAACAGAGAAAAGATAAGAAAGGAATTGTACTAATATACATTACGTGCCATGTCATGATACGCCCCTCTAGTAAAACCCTGGGGCTCCAAACATGACTTATGCATTTATCGAAAAGTGTAACATATAATCCTAATTTGCACACAGGCGCACAATAAAATATAGATACCGCAATAAACAGCGGTTTCGTGGCGCTGGGTTAAGGATGTTTTTTTCGAATAAGAGAAGATATTTATAAATTCCCTGTCCCTTCCTGTTTCTGGGGTTCAGTTCTTTCTGATTAATTAGTTTCCGTTGATTGTGGATCGGGAACTGCTTCAAGCATTTTTAGAAACTATTCTTGCGCGCTAGAACAGTCAACACACATGTATTTATCCTTTGTTAATAATGCGCAACAGGAGGCCTCCGTGCCCGAGAAAGAAAAAGCAGTGGACCAGATTAAGTATAAAATATATAATGTCGTGTCATTGAACTGTATAGAAGGCGTATATTCTGGGATTTAATTTCGTTCGTAAAGTTCCTCCTCCTTGGAAGCTTATGTGTGCTTCGTTATTTATGGACGGATTCCATGCATTCTCCAGAAATTATGGTGTAACAGAGGGTACCCTCTTGGCATGGTGTTTTGAACGATGTGAATCACACAAAATTTACGGTTTCAGTTTGTATAATATTACATGTGGTACCAGAATTAGAAATAATATGTAACATAAATTAATTCTTATATATAATTCTCGAAGAATTATTTTATGAAGCTCAGGCTAAGGAAGCGTAACTGCGTGATTCTTATATTTCGTACAACATAACAGCACGATGACAAGAGGGGCCGTAGAATGAATGAAGTTTACGAACACGTCATGTTACGGAGAAAGAATGTTTCATCCATTTCAATCTTCTTAGAAATTTCCAAACAGCATCACGTAATGAAACATGCCAGACAACAAAAAAAAGAGAGGCGCTTTGCAGTGTGCGATATTTTGCTTACTACGATGTATATGTGACGATTACTCTATGTACATCTAGTATTAAAATTTATCAAAGGAAAAGAATCAAAGGAGGAAAATGCGTACAGATATAGTCTCTACGAAATACTGAGTAATATGAGAAGGGGCCCCACTATGCTTTCCCCATCCTTTGTAAGAGTCATTTCTTATTATTCTTCATTACTTCCTTACGTAACTGAATCTATTTTTGTGGACATTCTGAAGGACGAGAAGATGAGTCATGAGTCCTATTATAGAATTCTCCCCCTAGAGGGGCGGAGATAACATTATCTGGTTTATGGTGTAAATAGTCTCATGTAACCTGTATTATATTCGAATGTTTAGCTGACACTTTACATTCTTCTGATGCGTGCCGCGATTACTTGGATATTGTCTGGTCCTTAGTACACGGACTGTGGTATTGTATAACGTGTAAGGTGTAGCATCATAGGGAACGTATATTTATGGAGAATTCAATTTTAAAATAGTGAATGTGCATAGAATCTGTACCCGCAACAATTTTGAGCAGCAGGAAGGGTTCCACTGAGATGGAGATAGTGTGAAAGAAATTATGGTTGGAGACGGTTCCGCTCGATAATATATAGAGAGTGAACATCGCTTCCTGCGATTCCATTTATGTATGCCTGCTGATTCCTACAAATACTGGGGAGAATTTTTTTCCTTTTTTTTTTCCTGTCTTCTCTTCGCCACACTGAGATGGGTTTCCGACGTAGTTTGCAAAAAGGAAGTGCACGGAGAAATATGGACAGGGGTAAATGTGTCAATACAGGACAGCTCTCAATAGGCATATTTCCACTCTGAGCATTGAAATAGAGACTGAGCAGGAAACCATTGCGAATTCTTTAAGAGAGACTTCGAGGTTGTTGTTCACATAACCTAATTCTATGACCAGGGGGGATGACAGGAAAAATGCGTCTTAAACAGTTGAACAATGAGACTGCGTTCAGATTAACAGAGAGAACGCATGGCCTGATTGGAAAAGGATACATAAATCAGCAGCTGAGACGTCAAATATTATGCTCTTTACAGAAGAAATCACAGGGAGTACTCCGTGCCTCATGAGGGAGTACATTGATTTGATTGCTCCATATGGATGAAATCAGTTTTCACATTAAGACAGTGGCCACGTGTGCTTATTTATTTATTTCAATAGAGGGGACCTTCTTTGAAATACACATCGCAAATATGTGTGGAAGCACTCAAATGAGATGTCTTTCTTCATGTGGTATATAAGTATTGGGTATTAGTAGTAATTGCTGTGTGGGGATCACGTTAATAATAAATGTTTTCGGCGTTATAAAGAAACCTTGAGTAGCGTCTTATAGGAATGAAAGGATTTTTAATTATTCATAAGAATCTGAAAGAGGCGAATTTTAATATTACGTGCCTTGTTTATACGAGTATTTGATCTGGAAAAACTGACACCGATTTAAATATACAGCAGAGATGAGCACTTCATATAACCCATTATGGATAGGACTACACAGATCACAGGAAGGAGATGGAAGAAGTAAGAAAAAACATGAACACATCGATTCTATGCAAGCTATACCATTAGTGTAAAATTAAATATTTGAAATATGTCTCCTCCCCGTATTCATGATGGACATCGTTTGTGTCTGCTGTCGTGTGTCTATGGTCACATTCTATGCATAGAAGAAAGAAAAGAGCACATAAAAGGAAATGCCTGAGGTGGGATGGGTCACATGCGGGGAAGAATTCTGTGGGATGTGCCCCGAAGACGCGTTTTCCTCGAAACGTCCATGTGTGCATTATTGTACAGAAAAGGAGGATTCTTTTATAAGTGAAATTCTATTTATTGAGAAGCATTACTTCTTTCGCGATCAGCTCCGTGTGTAGTGCAGCTGTTATGAGAAACATTAAAAATTAGTAAGAGTGGAGGGGTATATTTATATGACTGCACACTTTAATAATTTCTCCTTGGCCCTTAGAATGGTAATTATAGCTATATATACATATATATCTATATCTTTGTCGTAATATTATGTTGATAAGTGGCATAACGCTAATATATTCCTTCTAAGGAGTTATAATAGAGCACACAACACACTTCCGTGTACCGGAGTGGGTATTGGACACTGTAATAACGAACATATTAGAATATAATGTTGATTTAGTACACATGGCCAGTTTTACAGGACAGTTCTTTTCAAAGGTGTGTGCGTAATTTTTGTTGTTCCTTCTTTTCTTCTGATACATTCTGCAATACACGGCATGTCCTTTATTGGGGTGTACTGATTGCCGCGTGAGACTATACTGGTACACAGAAGAGCAAAGTAGGAAGCAATATTTTCTCAGGATACAAAATTGACTACAATTACACACAGGCTGTGGAACATATTTCTACTAAGTATTCAATTAATAATTAACTGAAAAAATTCATAGTTATCTATTTTGATAACACATCCCTCACTCATGTGAATCTGATATTCCCTTAGAGGATATGCCCTTCTGGATATTGAGTTCTAAGATGAGCTCAGCACCCTATCATGGTATTAATGGAACTTTCAAATCTGTCACTACATCAGTTTAATATTAAATAAAGAAAAAATCCATTTCGAATACGGAGATTGACTAAATGGGAAGACGTATGCGGGTGAATAGTAAGAGTTAAGGATTCTTCGCCATAGAGTACACTATGCGGGGGAGAAGATATTGCAATAATTATATTTAGGAATTTCTCTTGTCCGGTTACGCCAACCGCTCACTATTACGAATGTGGTAACGCGGTCTGATTAATTTGGTCGGGAGGATTAATTATTATGGGCAAAATATAAGAAAAAAAAGGACCAAGGAGTGTGAGTATTCCACCCTTATGTAAAGCAACGAACGATACAGTGACATGAGAGTATGTCAATCAGAATCAAACCGGAATCGATAGGGAATGACGAGAGTAATGATAAACCACTTGATTGTGATTACCCCCAGATATATATAATACGCGAGGGAAGAAAGATAGTGAAGCAATTGTGGGGGTGGTTATAATATATTACAGAGAATACATCATAGAGATTAAGAAAACATTCCAGTATTAAATCATGAATAGAAACTGAGAATAAGAGATATGTATAAGGAACTCCCCATTCTGCATATCATGAAATATAGTAATCTAATGAAGAAACATGAGGCATTCCTCATTTGGAAGTGTTAAGGGAATTTACATTATGAGTATCACAGGGGGATGTATCAATTCAAACCGGCATAAAAAGCAAATTGGCCGGAAAAATACACATGATCTACATCCCTCTATACATTGTTATCATTTATTGATAAAAGTCTATGTGCTGTTGACCTCTTTACACCTTACCATGGAACATCTATATACGCATGGATATAAATACATATATATATATTTCTTCCCTCTCATATGTGGCACTAGTCCATGAGTGACACAAATAGAAAGTCTTAACCTGGTAACTTATGATGCATATCTGGCGTAATACGGGAGGGGACTAACCGAAAAAATAAAGAGAAGCAGAAAGAATGGTACTAGTGGTACACACTGTTAACCAAAAAGAAGAAATAATTATGAGTATATACGGATTTCGTTTAGAAAATTGTTCCTTTGGCATAAAGATGTCCCCCCTAAAATTAAACAATTGCTCATGGGGTTTGCTATGTGGGTACATATGAAGATAATATCTTAGTGAATTTAAACTCCTATCATAACAGTTTTAATTACAGTTTGCACATTAATTGCATGTTGAGTATAATTGAAGACACTGTTATTGCGCTTAAATGTTTTCATGCTTATCTGTAGAGACTCTTAAGGGTCCAATGGAATAAGCATATGCCCATCCAATTGACAGAGCCTGAAATGGTCAGGAGTGATGTTTATATGACTCCTTTTATAATTATTTTACTTTGGTGAATGCATTCTCATGCCCCATCCTTCCTGTGAGTGTGTTTTTTAATGTTTCGATATTTTCAGCAGTATCAACCTGGATGTTGCATTGTTCCTCTGTATGCTTTTTGAGGTTTCTGCATTCTTATAAGAGTGTTAATTCATATCGTAACCTGTTCGCCTATGCATCCCCATGCTGCATAGTGCCAGTTGATGCGGCTTCGTGTTGTATCATTCTCATGAGTGTGTTTGTTCATGTTTCCGCATTTTTATGAGAGTATTTTTTCATGGTGCGACTTCCTTAGATATGCGAGCACATGTGGCCAAATTTTGGCAACGTGTTATATGGCCTAATTTCGCGAACGTGGTTTCACGTGTGTTAATTTCGCGAATGTCGTCTCATGTGGAGTAATTCTTCGCGCACGCTGCTCCATGTGGCGGAATTCTTTCCGGGACTGCCTACATGTGGCTTAAGCTTGGGCAAAGTTTTCCCATGTGGATCAATCTTGCAGGGGTCCTTTCAAAGTTATATCCGTCGTACGCGCGCTTCCTTCTTCTGCTTCATTATATATATTTCTCTATTTAATTTTCTCATGAGGATACACCTCTCTGGGTCATTACTTTGACGAAAAATTTTTGGAGGGTTTCTTTATGATGACATTTTTCACACCATCCTTATGAGGATACCACTTCCCCTGGCATTTCTATGAAGATGTTTTTATCTGGTGCATTTTTATGACGATTTTCTTTGTGTAGTTTTTTCATGATGATGCTTTTTTCTCCTGCATTTTTATGATGCTCTCCCTCCGGGTTATTGTGCTGTTTCTGTCTCACGCTACTGTGATGTTTACTGTTCTGCCGCGGGACTGTGATGCCTTTTCTTCTATGTGGCATTTTTTTAAGGATTCCTATATTTCGCATGTCAATCTAATAATAATTCTTCGTGTTACATTCTTGCATAGCTACATCCTCCCCGCTGCGTCAATATGAAGATGTTTTTGTGTTTGGCATCTCTCTCAGCATGATATTTGCTGTTCCATTGTCTATGAAGTTTCCTTCTTTTATGGTGCGTCATTGTGAGGTATCTTCTCGGTGGGGCATGTTCTTTCCCAAGATTCATTTTACCGCGTTGTACTTTTAATATATTCTTCTGCTCGTCATTTTTATAGAGACTGTCTCCTTTGTCGTGTCACTATTAAGATTCTTGTGTGTGCTGCATTCCCTTTCTGACGATTGTCCTGTCCTCGGGTGTTGTGATGAAGTTTCCCGTGCCATGTCATTATGAGAATTCTTTCAAGTGTGGCATTCTTCTTACGAAGATTCCTCTTACTTCGTTATCTTGATGATATTTCTTTGTTTGGCTAGTTTATAAAGATGCTCCTTCCTCTTATCATGATACCGCGAAAGAATTCTTTAGCGACGTGTTCTCTATATGGACATACATGGTTTTGGGGCATTTGGATGATGCTCCTTTCGGGCAGTATTTTGAATATATTGTTTTTTGTCATTTGTTTTATATCGATGCTCCTTCCTGCCTCGGCTTCGTGAAGATGTTTTCCTTCGTGTCATTTTTTTTATCATGATGTACCCTTCTTCGCGGCATTATGAAGATATTCTTTTGAGTGTGATTTTCTCTATGAAGATGCCCCTTTTCCGCGACATGGTAAAGATGCTTTTTCGTTCTTTATTTTTTTTATGAAGATTCTTTCTTCTCCTACTAGCTGCTCGACGCTTTTTTGTTTCGTTCTTTTTAAGATATTCTTTTGCCTCGATTATTGTGAAAATGTTTCTTGAGTTGGCATCATTGTGAAGAGATTTTTTCGGCCATATTATTGTGAAGATGCTCTCCTGGCTGCCTCCCTGTGGATATGTTGTATTCTATGTCATTCTTCTTTATTAGAATGTTTCCTCCCTAACATTCTGATCGACCTATTTTTCTTTTCTCTATGTGAAGCCATTATGAAGATATCTCCTTTCTTCGGCTATTTATGAGGATGGCCACCTATGTGAAGTGTAAATAGCATCACCATACTGATGTGGTAGCATTACTAAACATGAATAATCTATCGATGTGTGAAAGGGCACCCTTATCCTTGCTGTACTACTGCTTTAAAAGTCATGATGTGCATGGAATACTATTATGTGAAAAATAGTGTTACCTGGATAACATTGTTAATTGAAAACAGTTGTGTCAAGAGTAGGGATCTCCTGGAGTGTTATTGTATGAAAGCTATTGAGGTGTCCGTAGTACTCATATCCCGAGAGCACTGACACGTTCATCGTCTCGTTATTTCAGGAGCACAAAGTAGATTCGTGTATTCTTTGCAAAATATTGGGGTTCGTTCCTGACGCTGGTGGTGGGCCTCGATTCATGTCTACTATTGTTATATGGAGTGCATGAGTATTCTATTGCAGTCGGTTAAACCGTACTAAGGTGTCTGGATTCTCAATGGTCCAGAATCCCGAGATTCCCATGGCACTGTTATAAGAACGCCCATGTAGCTCAGTTATCTGCATGACCTCTAGTGCTATCATACTAATCTGCACCTTTATGCTTTGTGCCATAATGTATATCATTATATTCAAAATAATATGTTATAGAACAGTGCGTGTGTGCAAAGAGTACGGTCATGTTAAGAATATTGTTATGTGGAAAATACTTCTATCTCAATGGTACAGTATCTTAGTGAGTATTCATGATTGGAAATGCTAATATGAAGAAAGTACACACAAATGTATAGTACTGATATCTGGAGTTAGCTGACGTGTGTAACATATCGCTATCTGGAGAATATGGAAGTTGAAACAATCGTATTAAGTGATGTATTCGGGTGATAGGATCTATTTCGCTTAACCTCTTAGCCTTTGGGGAAAGCTATCTTATGAAGAGTGAACAAGCTCCGGTATTATTTTTATGTGAAGGATATTTCTGTGTCAAGTGTGCTAATGTGTGAAGTGCACTGTTAATTGAAGAAGACTACTGTTATGTGTGAGGCGGTTTACCTCGATGAATAAGTCTATCCTTGGGTTATCAGGATGTCAAATGTTTTCATGTAAGTCTAATGACTTCATTAGAACAGGTGCTGGATTGCCGAGCTCCCAGGGCCCATATCTAATACTATTACTTAAAGAGTATTGCTACTCCGGGAGTATGATGATCTTAAGAGTACATTTTTATCTCAGGTATTGATGTTTCAGGAGTGAAGTTGTGCTACTGATAGCATTGTCTCTGCCTCTATGTAGCTTCATTAGTGGGACTATATCTATGGTACTATTTGTTGGAAAGTATGGGTGTACAAGGAAAAGCATTATGTTAACAATAATATTGTTTAGATAATACCTTCATTTGAAATACACAGTTCTATGGGAAGTATCGATGAGTCGAAGTATTATTGTGTGAAGAATAAATAGATATAGGCCGTACTCATATCTGCAGAGTATTAAGATGCCTGGTACGTTACTATTCGGAGCATCAGAAAATTACGATAGTACTGTCAAGTAATTTATGTTCAAGCAGATAAGATATATCGCATCATGATTTATTCTATGCAGAGAGTTACATCATGGAGGGTATAACCGTTTCCGTAATAGTTTTATATGAGAGATACTATGGTGTGAACAGAATGGTCCTCTTCAATGGTGGGTCATTTGAACAATATTATGGTTATGTACCGAATGGTGTCACCAGTTGAGCATGCCTGTCTCTGAAGTGCCATTATGTGAATGGACTGGACTTATGTTTAATGGCCCAATTATATAAAGTATGGGATTGTATAACAAGTAGTGCATGTCGGCGACCCCATTATTTCCATTGTACTATGGTGCCAGAAGTACTATGATGTAGACCGTAGTCCTGTGTGTGAAATATCCATATTCTAGGAGGATCATTATTTGGAAGATACTATTCCTTCGAGTGTATGAATATTGGAGCAAGATTAACGACTGTACAGTACGGATGTGTATGGATTCTGAATGGTGATGATTACAGAAGTTGTCGTAGTGCTCTTATATGAATGTACTAATGGTTGACCTGGGGTAATATTTGTTGTGCATTGTTTTCTGAATAGAATACCTCCGTAGATAGTATGCATAATCGGAAACCATATTTTGTGAGTATACTGATATGTGTGTAGTACTGTCATTTAGGAAGCAGAATGGTGCACAGGTTATAGATGTGCCAGGAGCACAATTATCTGGAGGGTAAAAATTTCGAAGCCCAGGATTTTGACATATATTATACGCACAAAACTACTGTGTGGAACCTGTAGCAGTCCTGGAATTATTATTATATTAAGAGTGGTTCATTACGTGATGCTTCATGACTTTAGCAACACCGCTCTACCAAGTGTACCGAAGTCATTAGATTACGCTTGTGTGAAAATAACTTCTTAGCTTGGATTTTCGATATTGCCAGAGTAGTATCATGTGAATAGTCCGCTTGTGTGCAAAGTATTGATATACCAAGAATAGCATTGTGAGGATGAGTACTATTGTGCCGGTAATACTATGGTTTGAATAGTACTGACCTGCAGAAGCTGACATTATTTCTACTTTCTATGTGTGTTCCAAGAATACTATTATATGAATGAAATCATTGGATGAAGTTTGCAGATATACATGTTGTAGTTTTATATAAGGAGAAGAAGTGTGTAAGCCGCTGGAATATATCACAGATGTCATTGGTTGTGAAGTATACAGCTATACCAGCGATATCATTGTATGGGGGTTAACAAATAATACAAGTAATGTAGGAGCAACTAAATGATTTGAACCCTCCAAACCGGCTGGAGCAGATTTATTTGAGGAGCGCGAATATACCAGTGTTCATTCCATGTGAAAAGCGTCAGTATATGAAGAGTGCCATTCTGTGAAGTCCACCAACATTTTGAATGCAGTACTATGTAAGATGTAGGAAGATCCTGGGGGATTGTTATCTGAAAAGTCTCCTTGTGGCTAGAGTGCCCTTATTTGAAAAAAACATCTGTGTAAAAGATAAGGATATCCTCCAGTGTTACTGTATATGAAGCGTATCCAGGTCTCCGTAATACTTATATATAGGGAGTAGTAACACCCTTATTCTATTGGTATTTGAGAAATCGGGGCAAACCTTGGATACCACTATTTATAAAGTACTAGTATCAGTCCCTAAACCTGGTAGAATGCGCAGATGTACCTATAGTACTATGATGTGAAGAGTATTGCCCTTCATGTAATGGGTTATCTTAAAGGTTCCGGGTTTATGCCTTCATTATGTGAATAGCAGTGTCCTGTGGAGTCAATAAATCTTGCAGTCTAAGTATTATCTAAAGAATACTAACGTCTCCGAATGTTCCATGGTGAGAAGTCAAAATGTCCGCATAGTACTGTTCTATGAAGGTAGTAGTAGTCGAGTTATATGGATCACCTGAAATGCTACAATACAGACAAAAGCATAATGTATGACGTATCCTGCCCTTATAAGTAAAAATAACCTTGGCGGATGATTCCTTAGAAACGTAGTGATATCGAAAGAGTACAGTTCTGTTTACAGCCCTGTAGTGTCAATAATACTCCTAGCTAATGAGGATACTTCTTGGAGAATTATTAATCACTTGGCCTACTGTTATGGGAACAGTGAAGATGTATGTATTATACTCAACTCAACTAATGTGCCAACATACCTGGTACACTGCTATTTGAAGAATAGTAAAATTGGAATAGTAGTATTAAGTCAACTATTTGGAAGGGTTGGATTTAAAGGTTCAGATTCCAAAATAAGGAGTACGCTTCAGCTGCATGAGGTAAGGAGTCGTAGTAGTAGTCTAATATAGAGAGTCCTATTCTCTGAACCGTATGGACGTATTCACTCCCATCTTATTTGGGAGAAACTACTGTTATGTGTGCCATTGTGTGCCTTGATGGATGGAAGCATCTTCAAAATACAATTATGTAGAAGGTTTCGATCTAAGTTCAATACGTAGATTATAATCAATACACCATTGAACAAATCATAGAGTTAGTCTGGGATATTGTATTTTGAAAGGTGCCACCATGCCAAAATCCGTATAATGTTAATAGTACTATCGTGTGTATAATACTAATATTGCAGGAATGTTATTATATATAGAACAGTCTTCTATAAGAAGAATGGGAAATAACAATATAGAGATTAAATCAGAAATTCTGATATGTTTGTGTTTTTAATGATGATAATTGCGAAAATTCCTCCCGTAAAATTATCTGAGGAAACTGGTCTTTAATATCTACGGATGACCCACCATGCTCTTATGATAGAAACCCCCTCACGTCTAAAAAATTGTGCAATCATACCTAAAGATATCACAAGAATAGCCTTCTTTAGAGTTTTCCCACCGGGAATTGCAATCTGCATTCTATGAGATATAGGAATAGCCAAATCCTGTGTTTTACCTAGAAAACTATTCTGTGAAAAATGTTGATCCCCAGACAATACTATGATGTTAAGGATACGTCATTGTGTAAAATACCAACATTCCAGAGATAATATTCCTAATGACCCTCTATTCTCTAAATTAGCTGAACATCCAAGGCCAAATTCTGTCTAAAGAATACTGATGTATTTCCAATCCAAATAATAAGAGTAATGGCAATTTCCGTAGTACCATTATACGAGGCTCGCAAGCAATAACCTAAGTTCAGATCTGAAGGATATTGTAGATTAAAACCGCATCCTCCCTGACCATACCAACCCAACCGAACAAATATCCAATAAACCGTATTCTATCTCAGTAGTATTATTATTGAACATAACAACTAGATCTGAGGTGCTCAGAGTCTAGAAGAAAGGATTATTTAAGAAGTCAGCGGGGCAGCTAAATATCAATCTCTAACAGATGCCATGTTATTAATCAGACTCCAACGAGAGGAATAGGATAAAATAGACAGGTCAAGAGTACCCTAGGTTTTAATTCCAAACACCTCCCCCCCAGAAACAATCTCCTACCTGGAAAAAGCCAGAGAAAAGAGGACAGTAATGTCTTATTATTTGAAGTACCATAGTAATGAGGGACCGGGGACCCCCTCATTCGTATGACCAAATCAGGATTTGACAGATTGATGTACTCCCTATGAGGAGAAGGTGGTTAGCACACTGCCATCTACAGGAACCAGTATTATATTAAATTTAAATTAGACACTACGAAAAGAAAGGGACTGGACGTCTTAGACCGGATTCACTTCTTTAACCAAGGAACAAAATCCCCTGCAACCCACCGACAAGGTATAATCAGTTCCCCCAAAAATCACTCAGGAGGATGACACAGCAGATGACAACCACCTCACCCGAACCACGCCGCCGAACGACCCAAATTCACCCAAGTCTTGATATACAGGAACAGATCCAAGTAACCGAAACAAATCTGCGAAAAGATTAACCCCCCTGAGGGAAAACGGGAGCCAAGGCGAGGAGTAACCAAGACCGGGCAGAAAAAAAAGGGGGACCCCAAGGGAAAGATTTAACCAAAGGAGAAGGCACGAACCACAATATCCTCAAATGAACAGCGCAGGAGGGATTACGACGCCCCCTTCCACAACAAAGCCTAAGGAATTAGCACCGCAACCGGCAGAATCTCATCAAACACCCCCAAACACCCCCCCAAGGGAAAAGAAGTCAGGAGCAACACAGAATTCCACTCCCATGAAAAGGCAGAAATCCCACTAACACAGGCCAGACAGGGCAGGAATTTCATCCATCTGTTGGGAAATCTTCACCGAATCGAATAATGGACAGACCACATAATCCCCAAAACAACCTCTAAAACAACAAGTAAACGTATGAAGGAACGACTCCCTAATAGCTAACCCAAGATAGCAAGCGCAAGACATAAAGGACCCTAAAAACACAACTCAGGCCACCTCAACAGTGAACCCCACCAACAGCAGGAACTGCCCCAAAGAAGGAACCCACGAAACTCAGGAGTAGCAGTAGAGAGACTAACTACCTCTCAAACCCAGAAACCAATAGGGACCAATGGAACAAATAAAGAAAAGAAGCCCTAACACGTAAGCTAAGATCAACTAAAACAAAGCCATCAAAGTAACAACTCCCCAATAGCCCCCCTCCCCCCGGTCGAGAACAAAGAACAAGTCGTGGGACGCCCCTAAGCGAGGACAAAGTGTAAGGAACGACGAAGGTGGATGCCCACAAACAAGACCGAACTGGAGAGCGACAAAATCAAGGGGAACAGTTAAAAAACGGAGGAAGCAGCAGTTCCCGAAGATCATCCCAAGCAGACACAAGACACCCCAAGGACTACAAATCCAAAAGGAGGGAATATAGACACTGAACCCGCGCAAACACCCAGGAAGAGGAACGACGAAGGAGGGATCAATCGATCACACCCTACAACGAGGAAGCTGTTAAACAGGCTAAATACCGCCCAGCAAAATAAGGATCCAAGCTCGGGGGGTCAGAGCGAATCAAACCTATCAAA